TGTGTTTCTAAAAAGCATCTCATTGTCTTTACCTTCCTCAGTTGGCCTTTTGTGTTCAGGCTTACTTTCACCTTCTTGACCTGCACGAGTTCGATTGAAAGAGAAATTGTACTTATTGAATTACGTTTATTTGAATACTTGTAATATTGCAAAGTGAGTGAGAATTATGGGTGGATCACAAGGGACAGCACATAACCTGAATATTCGATAATAGGGAGTTTAAGCAAATCACTACGGCTGGCGCTGCTACGGCTACCGGAAGTAAAATTGTCCAGAAACGAGTCATTGCGCATGTCAGTGGTTCCCATCCAGCCGTAGCGGGAAATCCTTCTACGCGAGTGGGAAGGTTTCGGCGTAGTCTGTGGTACGTGAACTTATCTCGCTTCTTTCTTCGCTTTATACATTCTCCTGAGCAATTTTAACTATTGAAATACACTTAACATCTTTAAAAATAGCTTATCGGGAATATTTATCAAGCTTGCTGTCCCTTACCGAGTGAATCTGCCTTTATTTTTGCCGCCGGGTTTGTCGAAGGATCGAAGCAGTGTGCACATGGAGAACGCAGCGAACGCAAAGTGAAATGCGTAGGTAGAAAGTCTAACTTTTCCTTTTCAAACCTCAAAGACTACTTGAAATTCAAATAGCTGAAACCGAGGAATGACGAGGGTTATGAGGGACCGTGTAGAAACTTTGCTTTAGTGTTTATAAGCTCCAAACTGGCAATTTTATAACACGTAACCTTAAATTTTTTTAATTCACTCATTCACTGTGCACAGGATCGCTTACAATTTTTTTTTCCAAACGTTAGAATCCCTCGTCCCTTTGAACGAAGTCATTTTGAGTTTTTAGACGTGCAAAAACTACTGCGAAGACGCTTAATTTATTAGTTTTAAACTTCTCAGCCGTACTAGGTTTGTAGTTCGCGTTGCTTAAAGTTGAATTTTGGCGGGCTACGGCGACGTACTCTCCCCAAGCCTCGTCAACCACGATAGCCGTAGCAGCGCTAGCCGTAGTGATTTCCTTAAACTCTCTAATGATTTGCTCTCCCTTCTCTAGGTGAAGACACGGCAGACTAGCGTACATACCATATATGGAAGTAGCACGAGAGGCATAATTACGCTCCAGGGGGCGGGAAGATGAGAGATCCTGGGAACGAGGTTGAACTTTAATGCGCATGACTTGGATTTTTGCGAGAGGAACAAACAGTAAATATGGAGGATGGCGACGGCATTACAGGCGAAAATTGAGAGTCTGGGAGTAAAATTACGAGAGGAGAACAAATCTAGAGAATGCGAACTGTTAGGAAAGGGAAATGATAAGTCCACCTGCCCGAAAAAGCCTCTTCTTCCTTTAGATCTAACGACGAGTACCCGCCAAGAAAGACCAGGTGAATAGATATATGTGTATGTGGCACCATGTAATGTGTAATTGGTAACCAGGTACATACAGGTTTTTCACTGTTAGAGGTAAATTGTGGTACCACGAATCTCTCAACAGTATTTGATGTCCCCTTGAATTCGGTTTTTATCAGTGTTGTGTTGAAATTCAGAAAATGCTTGTTTAAAATCAAGATTTATCTATATTTTGGTTTGTAAATTTGGTGAATTTGCTGACAGAAATTTTTTTCGGATGAGGAGTTTGAATTTTACTGTGTGAAGCTTCATACAGTTTTACCGTGTTTATACGATACTTCTCTGTGGTTGAATATCTCGTACTTTGATTGATATGTAAAGGTTAGACCGATCACACGAACTTTCAATCATTAGCTTGTATTTTCGGTTCATTAGTTAATTTTCTCCTATCTCTATCATCGGCAAGATTTCCGTATAGCCCCATACTACATTGTACATTCAATTCTTGGATAAAGGAAAGCAGATGGAAAACAACAGATTTCCTTTTGACTACGGCTTTGTTTTTGATTGGTATGGGGTTATATGGAAACCTTTCCCTATCATCTGTTACTGGCTGTATATGTTGACAATTTGCTCTGCTTCTTCAATTTCGAATGTTGAAGTAATTGGAGTGATTTAATCTTCATTTTCCCAAAAATAAAGTGCCCCTAACCCCCCAATTTTTTTTTTATAAAGTAAACCTGCTTGTCATACTGATAACAAATTGGAAATATTTAATGTGGTATCTACTTTAGTTATTTTTTTTATGAATTTTCAAAGACCCCAAAATTTTCATGTTCTTGACCTAGACTTAAGGAGAATGGGGTTGGTACCGATTTGGCATTATTCATATAATTTAGTGGGAAAGCAGTCACATTACAACCTAGTAAAGAACTATAGAACTATGCTCAGAAGGTGTGTAGTTGGAGGCTGCTACAATACATCTTCTTTAGATGATGAGTTGGTATTCAGAGCACAACTACCCTGAAGGGAAGAAACACAGAATAAAATAGGTTTATTTCTGTTAAATGTGTTGACGGGTCAGCATGACTCCTGCCTTTCAGAAGTGCTTTTAAATCTTCGAAGGTTAGCTTTAACTAGAATATCTTTTAGTAACTCTCCTTATCGTTATTGAGGTGGCTTCTTAAATATTGCTCTTGAATCCAGCTGTTTTACCCTTATCATTTGTTTCTGAGGAGGCACAGAATGCATACATACAAGTTCAATCTCTGTTTCCCAATCTCAACTCCTATTTTAAGATTATACTGTAAAAATTACATTTTAACTTTGTTAACCTCTTAATGGTGAAGCCATGATTTAAATTTTTTTCAAATATTACTTCAGAATCACGTTAGAAATGCTACAGAGCATGGCTTGTAAACGCACTTTGTCATGGACAATACTCTAGAATGCAACATGTCAACTTGTCCACAAAATAGTGAGTGTCCCTTTTTTATAAACTCAGACCTAGTCTCCCAGCCATTTTGCCCCATATTTAGTACAAATAGCTTAGCATTTTAAAATCAAAGTTAAGTTTTTACTCAAGGGGAATCAAAAAATAATCCTGGAAAATATCATGACAAGTGTAATGAACTTGGATTGATTTCAAAGCTTCAGCGATATAAATTGTCAAAGATATGCAACACATTTTACCAAACATTTTAAAATTGGATATTTAACTTTTAAGTGCCACTAACCTCTAAAATACTTTTTTGCAATTTAAAAGAAATTTCTTTGTTTTACTGATCATCACAGTAAAAGAATTATTGCAATTGAATAACAACTTGCAATTCTACAAGCAGGTAAAGCCAAATTTTTTATGTTCATGATTGCATATCAAGGAACCTGGGTCAGGGAAGGTTGTTATATCATCCCGGGAACCACGCTACAAGGCTGCAATGCAAAACCTAAAGATGCATTGCCAAGATAGGAAATATCTAGGGAAATTTCGCTCCCATAAATAGCCTGAGGAAAGCAATATCATGGATAGATTTTGATTGAGAGAACTAGAATGTGGTGCCTCTCCCAATGTAAAACATAATTATTTGCGCATAAATTTTTAAACTAAGTTGCACTCTGTCAGGATCGACCAGTAACATTTTCTTTTCTTAAAATAGAATTTATACTGGATGAATTCTAATGTAAATGTTATGAAAATGGAAGAGAAATATTTGTGTGACTTCAGCTTGGGGATTTGACGGAAAAGTTTTTAGCATTAAAAGAAAAGCAAGGCTACACCTATTCATTTGGCTTTTTGGTCAGTGTAACTGCTTCCGTTAAAGCTAAATGTTACCACTTCTGAAAGAAACTGTGAAATATTTTATGGTTTGATTAATGCCTCTGTGATTAGTTCCCTTTAGACAGAAAATTATAGTTAGCATTTCAGTTCAGGATAAGACCTGGTGTAATCAAGATCGTTTCTAAATAGAGGACAAGTTAGATCATAGTCCTCGATAAAGTAGTCAAGATCTGCAAACATTGGTAAGCAACAATTTATTTTGTGATTATGTTAACTCGTAGTTGTGATTCAAAGTGAAACCTATCGCTAGCCTTTTGCCTTTCTTGTTTCTTTTAATTGCCACGTGCTTGTTGCCCAAATAGATATTATTCTTAAAGCTATGATTGCACAATACTTAGGTAATTTCTTCACGTAAAGATTTCAGTTGACTGCCTCGATGAGTATGCTTCAAAGAATAGGAAAGGAATAAAGAAAGAAAAGATCCTATGTTGGCTTTGTGTTTATTGTATGTGCATGTATTAACCAGGGAATTGAGTGCAAATTGTAACTTGAAAAGGGAAACATTTACAGCCAGAGTTGTCCAAAGGGTGAATAATGTTCTGAATTGATTATTTCCATGTGAGCCCAGTTCTTCAAAGGGCAGATACATTTGTAACAATATCCAACAGTGAAATTGATATCCAGCAGATACAGTTAATGTAAACAAATTGCACTGCACTATCCACAGGATAGATCCACTGTTCAAACAACCAGGGCCAGAGTACAAATGTATGTTCTATTAATACTTATCTGGTGAATAGTGCTGTACAAATATACATTTTGTTAACACTTATCTGGCGGATAGCATAATACAAATGTATGTTCTGTACACTTATGTGGTGGATAGCGCAGTAAGTTCTGTCAACACTTATCTGGCAAATAAGGATTTATCCATTGAATATCATCATCCATCCTTTGTACAACTGGGCAGTAACCTTAAACTAGTAGTGTGAATTTTCAGACCCACGCTTTACTCTAATCACTGCCTTTATAATGTTTCGGCAGAACTTCTGCATATTTAAGTTCATTAAAAGGGTTTCTCAACCACGGATTGCACTTTGAAATGCAAATTCTGGCAGCATCTTCCTCTTTTGTAGTGAATTTATCAGTACCATCACAACAAAGACTGGGACGGCATCGCCATTTGCCACAAAGCTCTGGAAGCTGTGTTAGGGAAGATGACAGGTTAGGTTGTTTATTTTCAGTTTGATTTTCACTTAACAGGATTATTTTTGTGTATGAACACGGTTATAGAATTTTTGTATGACGTTGTAGATGTTGTAGTTCAATTTTATACTTGGTTCAAATTTTAGTTTCCTTTGTTCTTGGTCAGATTAATGTATGATAACGTGTTTGAAACAAAGAAAATAAAATTTGAACCAAGGATAAAATTGAACTACAACATACGCATGGACATATGCTTGTGGAAATCAGTAGTATGACAAAATGTATCCTGTGAACATCAAGGTGGAAAATAGAATTAAAAAAGGAGGCTAAGTGTTTAATAAATTTGGTAAAAACCTAGCTTGACAGACATTTTCCAATTGGGTTTCCATTCACTGTCTATGCATGTGGGTTTTATTGTTTACAATTAGTGTTTTTTTTCTCTTTAATTAGAAACCCTTTCTAAAGGAAACAAAGATGTGAAAGTAGAATTTTACCAAGAAATATGAAAAATAGCGAGTTAAATTGCTCTTCACACATCAACCTTGTAATAGCACTGCGCGCCAGATCTAAAAATAGATATGTCATCTTAGGACCCCCCGCTGGGTTAGGACAAACACTTGGAGTCTTTACAAGGACTTGTATGCAAAACGTGTCAGAAGCAAGACTATTTTCGCTCAAAAAATGCTCAAATTTTCTAAAATGGTTGCAACTAGGCTTTGCTGTTGGGTACATGTAAAAATGACTCAAGATATCCAGAGAGATTGCCAGATTTACTTAATCCGCCCAAAGAAATGCTTAAAAACGATCAGAAAGCCTTCATACCATTCCTAAAGCTGAAGCGTGCATGACTTGGAACTTTGTGAATGCAGGGTAAATGCGTGTTCTAGAAAGAATTTCTCAGTTGATAGTGTTAACTACAATACTTATATTAGTGCTGTACACTGAAATCCTTGACAAAAGCCTTTTCAAACCGCTTGTTTGGAAATGTTACAGAGATGATGATCTTCTTGCTATGGAGTACAAACAAAGCAACAATAGAACGTTTCATTGAAAAAGCAAACAATTGTCATCCAACAATGAAATTTACAGCTGAAATTTCTGATAAGGAAACAACATTCCTGGACACCTACATCTATAATTATAAAGGCGAACGATTAAAAAAAGGACGGAATCCTTGATGTGCGTACTCATTTTAAACAAACTGAGACATTTCAGTATACACACTATACTTCCTGTCACCCACAAGGAGTTAAGAAAGGCCTAAAAGGAGAGGCCCTTTAGACTTCTCAGAACAAACTCCTCTCAAACAATATTTGAAGAGAAAATTGCAAATTTCAAAGCACATTTGCGAAAGAGAGGCTACCCAGAGGCCCTCATTAAAACAACCCTTTCAGAGGTAAATTTCAAAAGCGGGAAACTAGCTCTTCAACAGAAACCGAAGACGAACCAATGAATCTTGCCTTTTATTACACAATACCAACCATCAGTGCCAAACCTAAAGCAAATTCTCATGAATATAGTTTATATCTGACCACTTGCAGCCCAGAGGCTGAATCACGGATGTAAGGTTGAGAACAGACGTCAGCATATCAGGCGCCTCTGGCAGCCGCTTCAGTCTAGTGATCTCACCTTCCCACCCATCCCACCCCAGTGGAGGACATCCATCACACAGTAATCTCGTGTGTGGGAAATTAATGTCTCCTACCCCAACCCTGCAGGAGACGGGACCTCCATTTTTTCATCCCTATCCGAGAAGACTAGAATATCTAACCATTTCTTGATGTTATAGAAAGGTAGCAAATTCTTCTCAATTTTAAGACCTTGAGTGTTGGTCCGGCTGGGGCTCGAACCCTTGACCTCCCGCACAACAGTCCAGCGCTCTATCCATTGATCTAACTGGGAGGTGGTTGAGACACTGGCATTTAATAGAAACAACCAGTACTGAGCGAACTATACAAAAATCTGCCACTCGTGTCTTAAAAGTGAGGGCGATCACTCGAAGACATAGTAGCGAGGGCCAAACTTTGAATAGGCTATTCTAAACACGCGCTGGGGAGTCGTGTAGGCCTGTCAACCCCCTTTTTACATTGAACTGTTAGATCCTTAAGTTTCACACAATCAACTTTACTTTCCTTTAGTATCTTCGCCTGAAGCCATTTCCCATCATCTATACTTAAATGAACTACATAATGTTTTCCTGGCTTGAGGCAGTCACGAACACATACGATGAGGTCTGCTCATTTTCCGCTCAATTTCAAGCCTCTACACTTAAACCAATGCTTCAATTGTGTGTTTGTATAGTTCTCTTGGTCTTGCTCGAACTTTGAGCCAGGAACACTGTTGTTTTGATTTAAAATACGAGCTTTGAACGAGAGGCGTTTGAACTAGAGATGGGCGCATCATCGCCCATATTCATTTACTCGAGAAGCCTTTTTGTTTGTCCTAATCGCTCTAGGGGGTCAAAATTTCGTGAGGTCACAAACGCGCAGTGTCATTGCTCTGAGATACCAGGGAGGGCCATTGTTTAATAGTGGTCCATCGGCCTCTGGGTTAACAATCTGGCAAATAAGCAGAAACTTTGTTGTTTTGTTGAAATGAATATGCTGAATTGATTAAAATAGGTGAGTTGACTCTTAAATAATTAAAATGTTGCTGCATGTTGAATAAATGTGCCCACTTTCTTTGTTTCAACAGTCAAATTGAGGCAAAACTTCAAGAAATTACTAAACAGACTGGGATTCTAAAGTTAAAAGACAAAGTTAGTACTATTCAACCAATTTATAGTAGATATTAGGGATATTTATTTTATGTTTGTACATTTAAGAGGATTTGAAGCCTTTTTATTTTACAATTATTGTCTATGCAACTTTTTATTCATTTCTCCATTCATACACCAACCCACAAGCTGTAAAACTTAAATACTTATTGTGTTTGAATAACCCTAACCCTAATTATTATTACTGTATTTATTTGTCTATAAGCCGATCTTGGCTATAAGCCAAGACCCTGAACTTCGTTTTGTTTTAATAGGGAAGGTTCTTAAAACATGTAAATTTAAAATACTTGGCTGTAAGCCGAGACCATATTGAGAGAATTCCATTCTCGAACAAACTGAAATGAAGGCAAAAGTTTTGAAACAGAAAAGAGTTTTAATTCAGTATTGCTGTCGAAAACAATTCCGAGATAACCAGAGAGTAAGTCATCAGTGAGTCGCTAGAGGAAAGATTAAGATAACCTCTTTAATGGAGAGCTCGAGATGTGAGATAAATGCACAGCGATGGGCCGTTACACTCCGAAATATCCGTGGCTGGAATAGAAATTACTTGACTGGTTTACAGCGCATAGAAGCCAAGATAAATTCTCTTTTTATGTGATCGCAAATTTCAACACTGCAGCATGTGACGAGTTTGTTTGCCATTCCAAATCATGGGAATGGGCAATTCTGATTGGTCAGTTTCGAAATTTTTAAAACACTTTTGCAAGATCTATACACTTATTCAAAACCTGCAGAATCTCTAATACTCTAGACGGCATGGAAGATGAAGCAATCCACTCGGAATAAACGGCAGAACTATCGGATGAAGAGGAGATAGACAACGAATTCCACGCCGACACTGAGGACAAACAATAAGCCGTATTTACTACATGCCGAAAACAACAAACCACTCCTTTGGAAACAACCACATAATTAAAGTCAATGACCAACTTCATTTTGTTTTGTTATTTACTTCTGCGTGTAATATCTCGGCTTATAGATGAATATATCTATGTTTTGTTTGAATTTGCTGTTTCGAAAAAATTCTGTTTCGAAAAACACTTGGCTATAAGTTGAGAAACCTTCTCTAGCTCAAATTTTTGAGATTTTGGTAAAGTTTCATGAAAAAATCACTTGGCTTATAGATGAATAAATACGGTATAAAAATTTTTTTATAATTTCTGCACTCAGCAATTTTTAAGCCAACAATTAAAAAAAATCAATAATTGTCAGGCTTCTAGAAATGTACAATTCTTAAATCGGCTATTAGTAATTTCGAATTTGATACTGACTGCTGTCCATTCTGTAAATAGTACAAATGTTTATCCTATTGTATCAATTACTTAATTCCATATATTGTGTCTTATGTATTTATCTAATTCTCTAATTCAAGTAATTCATTTTATTTATTTATTTATTTTACTCGGAGATATTAGCACGTTATTTTGGCTATTTTAAATTCAAGATGAAATAAAGGCTTGTTGTTGTTGAGATATTATATTACTGTCAGTACCTTGTAAATTTTTTAAAATGTAAGTTCTTACACACATCTGTGTAAATTCCATCAGAGTGTGGATTTCACCATAGATGATTTGGAGGTTATTGAAGAAATTGGTAGTGGAACATGTGGGCAGGTATGCAAGATGATGCACAAGAATACAGGAGATGTGTTAGCAGTCAAGGTTAGGTTGGTTTTTAAAGAGATTAAAAAATAATGTGGGCTATTACATTTCTTTTGTGGGAATTCCCTAATTGAGCAATCAGCATTTTACATCCTGGTTGGTAATGTAAAGATTTATATAGGAAATTGCTGAGTTCCCAGAAATAAAAAGAACTGCTGATGTAGACTCTATGCTTTGCTTCTCTAAATGATAAACAGGAAAGATTTTACATATTCTGAAGCTATGAATCATAAAAATTATTTATTTATTACAAATTCATTTATTTATTACAAATTCACTCCACAAGAATACACAAACAATTAGAAATAATTATAATTAAGGTTAATAAAAACCATAAAAGGAAAAATTGTGGAGACAACCAAAAGGGATGCCCCCTCAAATTAAAACAAATTTAATATAGCAAAACTATATAGAAATATAAAAATAGATGCCCTAATTATCCTTATCCTTAATAAAACTTAAAACATTCTTTTTAAAAGTTTCAATGCTATCTGATTCTCTAATGTGATTAGGTAAGCCATTCCATTCACCAATGATACAGTTAAAAAAACTATATTTGAGACTGTTAGTTCTGCTAAAATTTGGGACAAGGTCCTGTGTGTCATTTTTCCTCAAATTATAAGCCATGCTTCTGTCCTTACAAAATATGAGCTTATTGGAAATGTCTATGTCATAACGGCCATTAATTACATTGAACAAAAACGTAATATCCCTAATGAACCTCCTATCAGATAATAGCAACAATTTCAATTTAGATAGTCTAGTACCATAATCATCATCAGGCCCAGTGATCCATCTGGTAGCTCTTTGCTGAACAGCCTCCAATTTGTCAATGTTACGTTTAGTATAAGGGTTCCAAGTTTCAAATGAATATTCCAATAAGGGTCTCACAAGACTACAATAAAGTGTTCTCATGGTTTCAACATCATTTAAGTCCCTACAAGTCCTTTATACCAACCCTACAACCCTATTGACCTTAGCAGTTATTCTATCTATATGCTGGTTCCATGAGAGACCACTAGTAGTAAACAATCCTAAATCTTTATAAACATCAACACATTCCAAAGGTTGACCCTCAATGTTATACTCCCCAATTAAGGGTACCTTTTTCCTGGTTATTCGCATGATCTTACATTTCTTAGCATTAATTGTCATCTTGTTTATCTCACACCAATCTGATATTTTATCTATGTCACTTTGAAAAGAGGACAGATCTTCTTGAGTATTAATAACCCTATACATTTTGCTATCATCAGCATATAATGCAATTGAGCTGTTCTTACTAATTACCTCTGGTAAATCATTGATGTATAAATTATTGTAAAGAATAATGGTCCCAACAAACAACCCTGAGGGACACTAGAGGTTACCGTTAACCAATTGGAAGCCTCTCCTTTGACTACTACACACTGCTGACGTTCAAGAGTAGTGCAGCTACGACCAGTAAGGAATCTGTGATGGGAATCGTGCGCAAAACTGATAACTTGATTGTAAATAGCATTATACACAATTCTTTCCTGGCATTTCCCAATGATGGATAGAAGCAAAATGCCTCTATAATTTTCTACAGGCTCATGATCACCATCCTTATGAATAGGTGTGATATTAGCTAATTTCCATAATTTAGTAGACAGCACTGTTTGAAAGATAAATTGAAAAGCATACTCAGAGGAACTGCAGATCTATCAGCAGTCTCTTTAAGTAAACGAGCAGGTATATTGTCAATCCCACAAGACTTATTAGCATTAAGACCTTTGAGAAGTTTTCCAACTTCTTTAGTGCTACAAGCCACATAAGTGGTAATGACATCAGTACTTGGATCTTGTTAGTTAGTTTGTATTGGGGTTGGTATCCCAGTACACTGTTTACGAAAAACTGAGTGAAAGTGAATATTAAATAAGTGAGCTTGCTCTTGAGGTTTTGTCGCAGATCTTCTGTTGTAAGTGTTTACATCTGGAAGCCGTTTTGATTTTGAGTTGATTGAGTGGTAGCTCCAAAATCGTTTGGCTTTTATCTTAAGTTTATCTTAAGTTGCATCTGTATATGAGTTTATTTTATTGAGGACATTGTCCCTTGTTCATAGCCATGCACATCATTTCTCCAGATGAAGGACAAGTGTAAATTGTATCTTTTTCACCTACATTTGAAATGTGTAGAAAATGCGCAGGAGTCAAAACAAGGAAGAACAGAAGAGAATAATTATGGATCTGGAAGTTGTGATGAAGTGTCATGGCTGCCCCTTTATTGTTAACTGTCTGGGATCATTTATTTCCAAGGTGAGTTTACTCTAGAGTCTCAGCAGGAGTTTTCTGTCACTGGCAACAAGGGGGTATGAAACTAGTTTTGGAGATTCTCAGAATTACCATTAGTTCTATTTCAGTGCAGTAATTTTTTATGGTCATTTTCCTTACTTTTCATTTTATCTCTTTATCAAGCGAGGTATACATACATTTATAAAATAAAGCATCGATTCAAAATTATGGACTTCAATTAAATACTGAGAAAACCAACTTACTGCATGAAGATTTATGACAGCTGGTAAACTGAACCCAAAAAAACATGCATCTGCTTAAACATGAACAAGAAATAAGAGACATCCTAGTGAGGTAAAAAACTGGTTGATGTGATGAGTGCTTCCATGAAGGTTCTAATACCAGAATTCTATGATCAAGTAACACCTAAATTTTGATAATAAGAAATAAAAATTGGGGGGGAAATTTCGAGTCATGTGCACTTTAAGTAATAATTGTAATTATTATAACAGTGTAGTTCTAAAAACAATATTGCCAATAAACATTAGAATGTAAGGTAGACATTTCAAGTTTGTACAGTCAGATCATGCAAAGTCATGTCAGATGTTGCCCAGTTAATAAAAATGTTTGCTTCTGTTTTGAAAATTTTCAAAGAATAAGTGAGTGGGTGTGATATGGATCAATGAAAGGAATAGAATGTTGGAGAAACTGTACATTTGCTATCTCCATGATATCAAAGAATATGTAAACCTATGACATTGATCATACAATGAGATTTCATTTGGAGTAGCCTATCCTTGTGCAAATCAACTTCAAATGTTTTTAGAATTTAACACTGTATGCCATCATTTTGACCCTTACTTTACAACCTGGTCACTTACATGTAAACTGTCACTCAACAAAGTCTCATTACCATTGGTGTTTATCTCTTGACAATTTCTTTCAGTGTTTAGTTTTATGAGGTGTAAATAATCCAATTAGTATAACTGATTGCTTTTCTACAATTTTGTGAACTTTTCAGTCATTGTGTTCTGTAGTTATGTGGATGGGATTTGCTATTGCTAATGTGTAGAATAACATGTCCAATTACTCCTCCATAAAGTCAAAGGGATAAATCAACTCTAACCCTGAAAAATTAATTTTAAACAAAATGTGCATATCAGAGCCACTAAAGCAATAGCGATAGAGAGTACGTAGGTATAGTTATTTTGTGCTTGATGGTGGTTCTTGATTTTCAGTCTGATGTTTTCATTTGTATGGAGTTAATGACAACATGTCTGGATAAATTGATGAAAAAACTCCAGTTTCCAATTCCAGAGGATGTATTGGGGAAAATATCTGTTTCTGTAAGTAAGTTGTACCAGACTGAGTATAAGTAGATGTAAATGCAAGACTCCTGTTACTAAGGGGTTGCATTGCTTACGCCACTCTTTGTTTATAATGTAATAATATACTGATAAAAATTTAGGCTTCTGATTGGCTGAAAACATGTAACGTAAGGGCAAAGTTGTTCATGCCCTGTTAAAATTTCATCAGTCTTGACCCTCTGTGATGTTTTTTTGTCCTGTAAACTATTATTGGGAACTACCTGATTTCTTGCCCAATTTGGTGTAAATAAGAGCTGTAAATTTTCGAAGACTGCAAATTGCACTTGCCTTGCTGGCTCATGCAATTGACCATTTCCCCATTACCCTTGGCCTCTTTTTCAAAACGAGGCCTGGTGCTCAACCGTTCTTTTGAAAATGAGTTAAATTTGGATGTGAATGAACACATCATATGAAAGGATTAGCACCCACAGGGGGGCCACACAAGCGGCGTGTCTGGTCGTTTGTTCGAAATATAAAGAAATGTATGGGAGAACATCGTAAACTTATATCAAGGAATGTCTATGTTAAGGCTCAAAATAAATGTAAACCCACCTCACTTGCTGTGTATTGTCGTTTCTTTGGTTCTAAATGGCAAATTTGAGCGATTTGGTAGATTTTGCGTTGAGTGTTCCTTTACTGTAAGGAGACAAGGGTGGAAAGGTCATTTTCGACCGCTCCAGCGCGAAGCCGATTTTCACCCAGAAATTAGAAGCGTCAACCTTTTACTTTATCTGGTGTTCGATTTGGAAGCCGGGCGATTCTAATTTCTGGGTGAAAATCGGCTTCACACTGGAGCGGTCGAAAATTACCTTTCCACCCTTGTCTCCTTCTTATACAGTAAAGTAACACTCAACGCAAAATCTACCAAAGCGCTCAAATTCGCCATTTAGAACCACAGAAACGACAATACACAGCAAGTGAGGTAGGTTTACATTAATTTTGAGCCTTAACATAGACATTCCTTAATATAAGTGTACGATATTACGACTCTTCAATATTTCCCCATACATTTCTTTATATTTCGAACAAACGACCAGGCATGCCGCTCGTGTGGGCCGCTTGTGTGGGCCCCCTGTGGAGCACCAGGACTCACTTTGAATAAGAGACAAAAGGGAATTCGGAAAGGGGCTATTTTATCATCTTTGAATAGGTTACATCTGCTTATTAAGACCAAATTGCACTTAGAATGTTATTATCTATTAGTATTATGTTATTACCTATTAGTATTATGTTATGGGGAGGAGGGATGGCGCAGTGGTGAGAGCACTCGCCTCCCACCACTCTTGCCCGGGTTCGATTCCCGGACCTGGCGTCTCATGTGGGTTGAGTTTGTTGTTGGTTCTCGTCCTTGCTCCGAGGGTTTTTCCCCGGGTCCTCCGGTTTTCCTCCCTCCGCAAAAACCAACATTCCAAATTCCAATTCGATCTGGAACAGTGGACAAGAATAGCCACCCAGTGGATGTCCATTGTTAAATCATTATTTATTTATATTTATTTATTTATTTATGTTATTATTTATTAGTTTACTGATTTGTTTTAGTGTGTGAAAGGTTGAGGTGAATAACAGATTAAGGAACAAGGGAGAGGGCTGTGTATCTCTATTTTTATCTCTCTAATTCCCTCTCCACCCTCTACATTTCACGCTGGTCATTTTCAATTGCATAGTATCCTACATTTGCTATTGTTGTTGTCTTAACTGGCTGTATACTCCATCCCTATTTTGTGTGTGTATTTTAAAATTTGTCATTTACTATTCCGACTCCATGGTTCAAACTGGGCTAAAATGGTTTTAAACAATTAAAATCTGGTACGGTTGTGTTTTGCTGTTTTTCTTGTTAGACATCTGTGTATAAGAGCTATAATGCATCTCAGCCTGTTAATGGAAATTATGGAATCATAGAAATTCTTTCACTGTTTCTATTTGTTACTTGTTCAGATTGTCAAGGCTTTGAATTATTTAAAGGAGACCCATGGAGTTATGCACAGAGGCAAGTTATCAAAGAAATTTCACCATGACTCTGAGATATTTATCAAGTTAAAATGGCACGACATTGATGCTAAAGACGGTAATTCATTAATGTTTTATTGAATTACTTATTAAGTTTCTCTCTATGTGTTCCAGACGTCAAACCATCCAATGTTTTGCTGGACCAGAATGGTTCCGTGAAACTTTGTGATTTTGGTATCAGTGGTCGTTTGGTTGATTCAAAAGCAAAGACAAGAAGTGCAGGATGTGCGGCGTACATGGCAGTGAGTTGAACACTTGTTTTAATCCAAAAAATGATGAATAAATGAAGTGTTAGTATTTGCCTGGTGTTGATTCAACTTTATTCTGGCAGTCTTCTCCACGCTGTTACGCACCACCTTTCACCGTGATTGGCTGGTTTCCAACATCGGTATTTGAATGTGATTAAAAACTTTACTAAATGACCCTTTTCCTTGACATCCTGGTGCAGGATTTTCTTCTTTCCTCATCCTATCAGTCTTAAAGCAGTCTTAGTTATGAATAACTGTGCTTTTATACCGATTTCGTTAACGAGTTTTGCTGCCTCTAAGTGAAATTGTCTAATACTTTTTAACAGCCTGAGCGCATTGACCCGCCAGACCCTATGAACCCAGATTATGACGTCAGAGCAGATGTGTGGAGTCTGGGAATAACTTTGGTGAGCAAAAGTGTTGTCTAGTTGTCTTTTTTAAAATCAGTTGACAGAAGTAAGACTATTCTATATAGGATAAAGGCTGATAGTTTCGAAAGAAACTGTTTGGGGCTGCGTCGGTGGGAGTAACGAAATAATTTGGATATATCAACAAAGTTGAAATGGTAAATTGGCCACCGTAATGATTACAATTTACCATTTCAACTTTGTTGATATATCCAAATTATTCTATATAGGGTCTGCCTTTTTCCGCTACCAGCACCTCAACTGCCTAAGATTGTTATGAATTATTGGCTCATCTTTCTCTATTTCTCTGTCGAGCTCAAAATTAGTGATGTCGTTTTCTTTACCATGTACGATTTTTCTTAACAGTTCTTCTGAAACCTTTCCAAACCTTTCCAACCTTTCCAACCTTTCCAACCTTTCCAAACTTGTTGCAAAGTAAGGAGACAAAAGTATAAATGATCTTAGTGTGTATGATCGTTAAACTTCAGCGGCAGTCTAATTCGCAAATACATTATATGCTAACAAGCCAACTGGGAGCTAGTCATTTTGTTGGTTCGTATTATACCCGTCGAGGTGATAACAATGAATTTGAATGTATGAAAATCATATATGTAGCGCAGATATATGGCTTCTTAGTTGGTAAAGCACTGCACCGGTATCGCAGAGGTTATGGGTTCAAATCCCGTATGGGCCTGAATTTTTTTCAGGCCTTATTTCCACTACTACATAAGTAGGGTTCATTATTGCGAGGATCGCTTTCATAGATTTCATGAAACCTCAGTATACATATGATTTTCATGTATTCAAATCCATTGATATACTATATGCTTAGTGCGTGATGTCAAACCGGTAAGCGCTTTTCTTGTGTTTACGTGTGTTTTCTGAAAATAAGGTTATGGGAGCTGGCATGACTCACTGTCGTTTATGTTGCAGGTTGAGCTAGCTACTGGAGAGTTTCCTTACAGAAACTGCACCACAGAGTTTGAGGTTCTGTCTCGTGTGATGAGTGAAGATCCCCCTCTACTACCCAGACAAGGATTTAGCGCCAGCTTTTACTCTTTTGTGAAGTCATGGTGAGAAACCTTTCATCAAAAAAGAATCCAGGACGACTTGACAAACTTGGTTTTCAAGAGATAATTTTTACATTTATCGTTAATGTTGTTGTTTCTTTTAGTTTGATAAAAGACTACAGATATCGACCCAAGTACAACGCTTTGCTGGTACGTGGTTGTGATTGATTTCATGATTCACTTTTTATTTTTACGTGACATGGTGGTAACCCAAAGGATCGGTCGGTCTTGCAACAGGGGATGTGGCTGGGAATTCATGTCCATAATTGGTAGTGTACCTAAGATCGATACTGTATTTTTGACAGGTGCCACTCAATTCATAATTAACTTTCGCTTTGGTATTCGGAATACTCTTGTTTTTCCTATATTCGTAATATTTCCTGTAAATGCAGGAACGAACTAAAAAAACCTTGATTATTTATTTCAGAAACATCCATTTATTCTTGGATATGAACAAAAAGAAGTCAACTTGGCGGGATGGTTGGCTGCTGTTGTCGAAGATTCGAATTTTCCCGGCACAGAAGTATAGAACATGATATCAGTTCAATAGTTTTAACCGGACACTATATTTTAGGTAGATTTTTATGTCTAGTAGGGCCTAAAGTCCTCAGATAAAAAGGAATTTTAACCTTTCTAAACTGAGGCCGGTGACACAAACTGTATGAAAGGATGCCGTTGAACACCGGCGTATTAGCCTCTTTAAAGATCGTTCAAACGTAGAACCGATTGTTGTCAAGGGTGAAAGTAGTCAGCGTGGCCTGCATCTGATTTAATTATGAAGGACTCATCGAGTTTGTGCCGAGCGACTGCTTACAAGCAAAGATTTAAAGAAAGAGTGATGCTTTTTTCTTCGTTTGTTTCTCTGTTTTATTCTATTATCTGTCAATAATCTTCTCTATGGCTTCGCTGTTTATGAAATCCAATCGGTAATCAACAACCCTATGAGGCGCTTTTGCTGAACTTAGCATTTAAGGGTTGTCATGTGGTGTTGCGGATGACCAAATGACACGTTGCAAAATTTTGAGAAGACGCACAATCTAGCCTGGCACAACAAAATACAAAAACTAACTCAAGTAGTTTGTTTATTACCTAAAGTTTCAGACTTTCTCTCTATGTCCTTCACAGTAATGTCATTTTGTCTTAAGATGCCATTGATGCACACCGTAAAAAGACTGCATGCGACATGTAAATTGAACATCAGTATTGATTATTACAAGGTAATGGAAAGCGTACCTCTCGGGAACAATCGGAACCACTCGTGTCATGACTAATCAAAGTTACGTGTACTTAGTATTTGATGGAACGTGCGCCTTAAAATTTGATCTGTGTTTTGATGTTATATTTTTAAGTGGTGGTATTGTTCGAAATAAACATCCAGTTGTATTACTTATCATAATGCATGATGTTTTACTCTAAAATATTTACATGGTGCTTCCACTGGTTAAGTCTAAACAGGGCTCGTTTGTATGAAGCCATGCAGTCAGTGTTTCTCTTAAGGTAAAAAGGTGATTTTGACTCGTTGGTCAACCAGTAATGTGTGACAAAAAGACCTAAACTATTGTTATTTTTTCCCTGTAAAATCAACTTAGCCATCTAATGTTTGGTCTATTCATTCTCTCCTCTGTATACGAAGGTGTTGTTATCGGTGGAGGACACTTTCACTTCATACAAGATACCACTGGGCAGCACCTTATCCATCTCATTCCATATGTACTTGGTTACATTCTCAGTTGTGCTTATGTTGATCTTGAAGAAATCAATATCCGTGTGAAGATTTTTGTGATCGAGTGGTGCAATCACCGACTTGAGAAGCTCCTTCACCTTGCCAAGGTGCATTACCATGGCGGTTTTAGGATCTTGCTTTCCGCGGAGAGTAATTTTAACGCGGTAGTTATGTCCATGGCCGTTGGGATTTGTGCATTTTCCAAACAATTGCCAGTTCTCCTCTTCACTGTGTTTCGAATTCACTAACCTATGGCCAGCGCAAAATGTTTCCTTTCTTGATACGTAGAAAACTGGTGAACTTGTTTTGTTCGGCTTGGAACTGTCGTGCGCCATAATCTCTACCGTTTCTTAATGTTTAGCAGCTGAGTTCAGCACTAAAAACTAACGTTTTGCGGCCTTAAGTTATCCCGAACTACAGTTAACACGTTCTTGAACTCTTCGTAATATGTTCATAACAGAAACTGAGATCTAATGCGCGATTCGTTCAATTCTTATGCCATTTGCCTAGATTCCCAAAAATGCCTTGTAACGATGTGGGAATGTGCTTTAAATGAGTTGTTAATGACACAAAGAAACACGGAATTTGACCACAGTAACTGTATTACCCTTCGTATTTATTGACTACAATATTCACTCCACTCTAAGTTCCTAGCCCAGTCTGCAAGTTAATTAGCCAAGTCCTGCATGCAAATCGAATAACCCTTGCTTCAAAACAAGCAGTTGAGTTTATTATCCAGTTTATTTTGAATGAAATATGACAGTTTCCTTTGTATCACGAGAACAATCATTTCACTTCATCGATCTTTTCTGTGGTCTGCATTCAGCGCATGTAATTAGCACATGAATGATTTCAGTAGATATTCCTTTAACCACATATGCACCTACAATGGCCTCCTCCGCTGCAGTCATTTGGCTTTGTCATTCTAGGCACTCACGAAAGATACTGTTCTTCACCTGCTTTACATTTGTCTTCAAATTAGGAACGTTAATTTGTAAAGTAATTATCTCCTAATGAACGTCTTCTATGCGGCAATTATAAGCTTACTACATTTTCTTGGCTTACTAGTACAGCAGTTTATTCAGCCCCCAGAGGCGCTTCTGATCACGCCTTTAAGTTCCATCTAGGTCGCTAAGCAGCTGCAGGTCTTTGGCCAAACTCAACATCACAAAGCCGATCAGTTCACACGTTACAGTTTACTCCAAGAAGATAAACTAATCTGGATCTTTGGGAGCCTTTTTGATACAAGTAATAGTTTTCGGTGCAAAAAAACTAGGGAACAACTGTGTTTCACCTCAAGAAGTAATTTTAAAATTTCCTGCCGTCCAATATTTGATTTCTGTCTCGGTAATCTTTCTCCTATAAGTAAATGAATAATTAGGTACATGTATCAAGAGCTGACGATTTCAACTTACCGGCATGGAATTCATTAAGCCATTTATCGCTCCGACGAAGGGCTAACGCTCGAAACGCCAGCTTTTGTAATCGTTACGGTGGCCAATTTACCATTTCAACTTTGTTGATATATCCAAATTATTTCGTTACCCCCACCGACGCAGCCCCAAACAGTTTCTTTCGAAACTATCAGCCTTTATCCCTAAGAGTGACTGGCATCTAAGTATAAAGAATATGCATACTGATCTTAGGGTGTACAGGGCTTATACTTCATCCCATGGGTGAAAATTACTTCAGAAAATGGGACTAGAAACTGGGACTAGAAAATGGGACTAGAAACTGGGACTAGAAACTGGGAAGCATCTACGTAAATAACAGTGTTATAAACCAATCCTACCAAATTTTTTAGAAAATTTTGAATTTCGTAATCATCAGAGGTTTGCTTTGCCCTTTGCTTATAAGGCAGGACTGATTATTAATTGAAATAGCTATAGTTGAAGCAAGTGCTATGCATGTCCACCATTCTTGTATCACGCACAAGAATATGATGTATCGAATAATAGCCAATAACTCTTATTTTCTTTCTCAACTCGGATGAAACAGAAATGTTGGAACTATGAATACTAGCCTTTGTATAAATAAAGTAAGGGGAATAAGGAAGCGTTGACATCTAATTCAGGCTTGACAATTGACCCCTTAGTAATGGCAGATGAGCCCTTGCTCAAGGAGGAATGAACAACAAATTGGACTTGTTTTAGTGCAATCACCTCTTTACTTGAATTTAGTAGCAATTGATATTTTTTTGTGTTTGCCTGGTTCGTGAAATAACTGAATGATAAAACTAATATCTGATGACTGAGAGTTATTACTAACAACTGAATAACCTTGTAGATATAATTATGCTTCTCTTTAAGTGTTCCATTATAAAGCTTGTGCTGCAGACAGTCTAAACTGACAGTTAGAGTTCATGAGAGGAAAATGTTTCTTTGGTTGTGAACAGAATGCCTGTACATCCAAAGAATTATCAGACTATTCAATAGAGGGGCTTTTCTTGAAAACCAATTCCTTGCACAAAAGTGCAAGTAACAGAGAGGACTAAAGAAATATCTGTGCTCAATACCCTAAGGGTTTGTGATCAACTAAGTGTGATGTGTTGGGCAAATTGTGCATGATCCTTGGCATAACAGAGCACTCCAACCAATAGAATCACTTTCAAAACTAAATTTCCAATTGAAAGTTTCTCTCTGAATGGCTACTGATGGCAAGATTCACCAATCAACTCCTGTTTACAAGGTCAGTAAACAAAGCAAACAAGGCCATAAAAAGGAGGAAGAAAGAGAAGAGCTATAATTTATGTTGAACTAAAAAGGCACAAGTTCAGAGTCTTAAATACAATTTTTTACCCAGCAAGTGAAAATAGGACTTTTTGTTGCCATTTGAAAATCAAACACTGCTGTTGTCTGGAAATTCAATATAATTACCTCTTCAAATGAAATTATTCTTTAATGTTTACATAGCTAAACCGATTCACAAACGCCCAAAGGCTAACCTGAAACTGTGGTTTATCTTTAATATGAAAACCTTGGTGTCAAATGTCTATTATGATTCATTCCAAATTTGAGGAAGTAGTAAATTGAATCTCTGTAACAAAGTGGTTTTGCTTTTACAAAACTATGAATAGGAGCCTAGTAGTTTAATGTTACAACTGAAAATGTGATTAGTATTATGTTTTCCAAGTAAATATGCCCAGAATTGTTCAGACCTTAACATTTTCATGACTTCCTGTAAGCATGGTTCAGATAAGCATTGATATTTAAACTTGGTAACAATATATGTGTTTTAGGCCTTTATTTGGTAGACTACAATTCCTTTTCAGTTACCTGTTTGGTTTTGGTTAATTCATTGCAATGCTGATATACATGAAAAATGACACTCTTGATTGGCTGAAAACAGCTAGATACCTTTTTCATGTATCACTAGTGATAACTTAAGTACAAATGTAAAGTAGGCTGCAGCAACCATAGATCACACTAGAAACCAATCAGATTTACAGTAAGTAGGTTGTGCTTATTGATACATACAGTGGCTTACCAAAATAAACAAAAGCTTGGATATTTTCTTGTATAGGGATAAACACCAACAAAATTGCATTCCTGAGTAAGGTTTCAGGTGAAGGACAAATGTTGATAGCATGTCGAGGTTACCATTTACATGATGATGTCAAGTTCACCTAATCATTTGATGTCTCGATTTAGCTTGAATCTAGGAAACACAATGGCATGAAATTACAATTTCAATAATAAGAAAACTTGAAAGATTCAGGTACTTTAAATCATATGATACCATCATCCACTTGCCTGTACATTGATCTCGGTTGTGTAAAAGTTACTTCCTGAGATATATTATGGTGACACTGTATCTCCATTGAACTTTCTGCTGAATAAAACCTCCAGGTCAAATTGTAAATCTTATACAGTTAAAAATTATTAGCAATTTTAATGTAATGTTTCTTCACAGTACTAGTGAACATCTGATGAATTAAAAAAATTGCTTGTGTTCTGATCTTGTTATGCTACTATCTTTTTTCAAAAATTATTGCATAATTTGCAAACCATATCCCGACCTACTTCAAGTAAATTTTTCTGTTTTGTTTATTGAAGATACTGTCCCACAAAACCCAAATACAATAATTATAGTAAACTTATGCTTGCAACCAACTAAAAATAGAACTTTGTCCCCTAATGGACAATGGGAAATTTACTATGCTCAGCCTTGTGTTACTTTACATGTATGTATTGTCCAAAATTAGTCATACATTCAAACCAAATCAAGCCCCCCTTTGCTTCTAGTGTAGATTACATCATTTCCTGAATATCTTGGCCCTTCTGTGAAGTTTTGTCCTCGTGTGCTGGTACACAAAATGCCAAGAATATTCATATGAAATACTTCCCTGGAGTAAATTTCACATCACTTGCCTTGGAAAAGACAATCAATGTACAAACTTCAGAACTCAATTCCACTTTGTTATGTGAACAAAATGGACTGAATCTATCAGGCCACTAAGGGAGATGATGCGTGGAAGTGGCCGGCGTGAGTGCAACGCACACCGCCTTCTTTAGCACATCTGCCTCATAGTGCACAGCCTCTCATTCGTACCCGTTCTACTCCGGCGCCCGTTATTTGCAGGAGATGCGCCCCTACTTTCCAGCTCCCCTAGGACTATTTACTGCACCCGGGAATCCATTTTGGCCGCGTTGTCATGTGTTTCGTGGAAGTGGCAGGCTTGAGTTCAAGGCTCACCCCCTTCTTTTGCAGAGCCTCCCACTCTTACGCGTGCCAATCCGGCGTCCGTGATTTGCAGGAGTTGCGCGTCTACTCCCCAACTCCCCTGGGACTATCTAGTGCACCCGGGATTCCATTTTGGCCACGTTGTCATGTGTTTCGTGGAAGTGGCAGGTGTGAGTTCAAGGCTCGCCCCTTCCTTTTGCACAGCCACTCACTCTTTCGCAAGCCACTCCGTTGCCCGTGATTTCCTGGAGTTGCTAGTGCTGGTACACAAAATGCCAAGAATATTCATATGAAATACTTCCCTGGAGTAAATTTCACATCACTTGCCTTGGAAAAGACAATCAATGTACAAACTTCAGAACTCAATTCCACTTTGTTATGTGAACAAAATGGACTGAATCTATCAGGCCACTACGGGAGATGATGCGTGGAAGTGGCCGGCGTGAGTGCAACGCACACCGCCTTCTTTAGCACATCTGCCTCATAGTGCACAGCCTCTCATTCGTACCCGTTCTACTCCGGCGCCCGTTATTTGCAGGAGATGCGCCCCTACTTTCCAGCTCCCCTAGGACTATTTAGTGCACCCGGGAATCCATTTTGGCCGCGTTGTCATGTGTTTCGTTGAAGTGGCAGGCTTGAGTTCAAGGCTCAC